TTTTGGCTCTGCAGGATTCTGAGTTCCCTGGTTGTGCTTGGATTCCAGCTGGTCATTCCACAGCCTTCCATCGAACACAGAAAGGTAAGTGTTGCGTATCCCACCAGGAACTGGCATGGATGGGGCGGTTTTGCAGCTCTGCGTGCTTTAAGCTCCTTCTGAGGCAGTACCAGCAACTAACCATGGTTTATTCGGTGGTCTTACAATGCTGAAATGTTAGCAAAGTCTGGTCTACAGCTACAGTTTGGGGCGTATCTTGCTTCAAGATGGCAAAAACTTTGCCTGGAAGGATAATTTTCATCCATCGTACCGACAAGTAACTCTTGACTTATGACTGTAATTGGCACTGGAACTCCCACCACCTAGTGATGCAATCATTAAGTGAACCAGGATCCCTGATTTTATGACCATTTTACGACAGTCATTAAGCAAATCACATGTTGTGATTTGGGTTTTACGTGTCGCCTGCACACAGCTCAGATTAAACCAAGCCCAGGCTTCAGATGGTACGTCAATCAAGCTGTTAGCATCCTTTTTTCATCCTGTCTCTATGCAGCCTCTTAAGTTGAAGGAAAGATAAAATTTACCAATCTAATCCTGGCTCCCAATTCCATTTCAGCCGGAGTCGAGGCTCAGCTTTTCAACAACAGCCTGATCTGGCTGCTTAATCCTTCCTTGAATGTACCTTTTTCTCCTCTTCCTTATCCTTCAGAATCCACCTTTTGTGGGTGAGCAAAAGGCATTTGTGTCCTGAAGGCACATCAAGAGCCACGCTGGCTTTCATCTCCGTCAGGGTGGGGTGGGATGGGGAGGAGAGGAAGCCACAGCCAGGCGCTCATGGCTGAGAAACGTAGCCTTTCCTTCAGAGGTTGCCGAGCCTTGTCAGCTCCATTGTTCTGGAAGAATGTGAGCGCCACGCTGAAGGTTTAGCATTTGTTCCCACCGCATGGGAATTTTGTTTTGCACGGGTTAAACAAGGTCACCAGAATTGGAGCAACTTTGATTTTCAAAATGTGTAGAAATGCTTCCTGTTGCTCAACCAGGCTGATATCAGTTCCCCACAGCAGATCATGGTTTAAATCAGGTCACTCTTTGGTATTTCTCTCTCTCTCTCGGCACAATGAGAATATATCCGGACATCCGCCCAGTAAACATTCAGCGCCATTCAGTTGCAGGATTATGGGGTCATGAAAAGACACACACAAAAATAAATCTCTGATGGAGAGAGTTTTCCTTTCGATGACCAACTGAGGTGTCTATTTATTAAACACTTGCATGGAAGTTTTTAAGGATCAGAGTGGGTTCCTGCTTGGGTGGAAGAAATCTTTGCCCACTTTCTACATCTGGTTTGCTCCAGCCTTCTCTGTGTGCTCCAAAAGAATCAGCCTGGGAGATGTTTCAAGGTTACAGATGCACAAAGATCTGGGTGACATTAGTCCAGAGCTCTTTGTTCTCTTGAAGTCCTTCAAGACCCTTCAGATGTGGTTGGGCTGGTGATCTTTTCCAGACATTACCCAGTTTTGAGGTCTGTCTCACTTGGCCATGCCTGATTATGTCTTGTTGATAGTTGCAATGTAGTTTGGATGAGACCTCAACGATTTTAGACTTGATAAAAAGGACCCCGTTGTTTGAGACGTTTAAGAAGAGATTGGACAACCATTTGTCTAAAATGGTATAGGGCTTCCTGACTGAGCAGAAAGTTTGGACTAGAAGACCTCCAAAGTCCCTTCCAACTCTGTAATACTGTATTCTGTTATGTAAGGGGACCCATATCTCCCCAAATATTCTCTGGATCGTCAACCAAAGACAGACACACAGATGGTTAGCGCTATCTATTGAGTAAAATACATTAGAATCATTGAATCTACCTTGATCAAGAATACTTCGTAGTTAGATGACCACCACTGCTGAGGTCTCATTTCATATTTGGATTCTTGGAATAATTGGGTCTTGTAATCCCATAGATATTCTCTCTTTTCAAGGGCTCACACATAGTTTCAACAACTAAAGGTGTGAGATCTTAATCTTGTTTCTTCAAAGTCTAATGGAAATGATTTTGGAAAGTAAAAGCCTTGTTGATGGCTGTCGTAGAGTAGAATATTTGAATAAAAGCCAGAGCTAGCATAGATGTTTAGGAAAATGGATGAATGCCTTGAGCAATTATCACACCATTATTTCCTACTTAGCATATATATGAAGTTGACTCGGTGAAGGCATAATTCAGAAATGTAGAAACGAGGGAGAGCCTGTTGAGTGGCTATTACTACCCCTTTTAACTGTTGCATTTTGGGATGGCTGTTCTTATTATTTTTTAATGGGAGATCTCCATTGCTGGCAGATAAATAGCCCGAGCTGAATTCATAGGCGTTGATTCCAAATGTTTTGTAGGTCTGCTTAACATTTAACCTCCGTTTCCTGGTTCCCTTCATCACCCTTTAGCTGTAAATCTCATAATTCAGAGGCCAGCAGTAGTCATGGAAAGTAGCTGCTGAAGAGTGCCACATCATGCAGATTAGTTATTCTGGCTGGCTCCAATCCAAGTTGGCCTGTAAGGCATCAGCAGGTTGGTGTGTATGCTCCTTAGACCACCATTGGTCTTTTAGCAGAAGGGCCCAAACCTCCCTGTCCGCAGAAGAAGAGCCAGTGAGGTTTGTACAAAGCACTTTGGTGATTGTCAAAGTCCACTACCAGCAATCCAGCGAACAAACTCCAACACAATGAACTCTGAGAAAGCGTTTCCTCCAAGTTCCATTTTGCTAGCATTCTCATATTGGCACATCTGGGGAAAACCCGAATCTGAGGCTTCCGGGTTTTCCCTTCCCAAAAGAGAACCAAAGATCCATCCCCTGCGCCCACCAGTCCATCACATGGACTGATGAAATCATGATCCCAACTGGAGACCTTCCTCCAGACAGTCCCCTCCAGGTGCAGGGCAACATGTCCTTGACTCTCTGAGAAAGGAATGTTGTTTGAGTCTAATTTTCCCCCTCTCTATGAAATCCCCACTCCCAAATTCCCAGGCACTGAATGTGGCAGCCTCGAAGCTTCCAAGTAAAAAACATGGCTTCCAAAACTGACATCTACATTTGGAGGTGATGCTTTTCAGACCGTGCTTCCAAGCTTGAAAACCCAAAACGTTCTGGTCTTACCTGCCTAGAGATCCCCAAAGGCAACTGGATTTTCTTGGGTTTTTACTTGAAAACCTCTCACTCCCAAAAGCTTCTTCAGTTCTGGGTGAGAAGGAAAATGTTTTCAAGGAAAACAACAACCACAAGAAAGTCCAGTTGCCTTTTGGGAAAGCACCTTTAGGACAACCAGGACCTGGCCAATTTGAGAATCTCTGTAGACGTTTACCTGCCTAGATATGGGATGCTTAGAACTTCTCTTCTGTGGTGGGGAGCAGTGGTGAGATGCAAATTGTTTTACCACCAGTTCGGTGGGCATGGCTTGGTGGGTGTGCTTGGCCTAACGCTGGGTGTGCAGGATTCCCCACACCAGCTGAGACCTGCAGTGCCAATCAGCTGCAAGGATAGAAGAGAAAAGCGCAGGGACAAGTGAGAGGGCCAATCCTGCACTTTTCTTTTTCCTATCAGCTGATTGTCAGAGGATTTTTTTTCCTCCTCTCAGCGGATCGTTGGCTTTTTTTTTTTAACTACCGGTTCAAGTGAACCGGTCTGAACCAGTAGCATACCATCACTGGTGGGGAAATGGTTGAGGGTGTCAGCTCTAATAACGCAGGGCTGCCATTCCGGGGGGGTTGGACGATCGCTCAAGACCACTGCCTGCCTTACTGAGTGAACCGCGGCAACCTAATAGCTGATCGGCACTGACTTGGACCACGATGAATAGAATGACGGCGCATGTGAGATCACCTGGGTGGTGTTACTTTCAAAGCAGCCATGGGGTGGCATTTCCCTTGTTTGGAACAAGATCACTGGGTGTGGTGGCGGCAGAGTTTTGACGCAGCTGTATTTGGGGTTGGGTAACGCTAAGCAAGCAGATCTCACTATTAGGCGCTTTTGTCCTGGTGAGTTCGTACCACGTTTTCCACGGACGAGATAAAAGGCATTGGCAAAACAAGGTGTGTTTGTCATTTATTCTCCAGTGTGAGTAGCGGAACCTGACAGAAGGCATGTTGGATGTGGAAAGGAAGAGTTATGGGCCCTGTTGGGTTCTGCTTGCTGTGGAATTCTGGGAGTTGAAGTCCACAAGTCTTAACATTGCCAAGGTTGGCCATCCTGGTTTAAAGAGTTGCGGGTTGAAGTGATGTCCGCGGAGTGACGTTGTAAAGCATCTTTTTGCGATCCAGTTAGAAGCAGCCTTCATCCATCGTGAATACTTTTATTTTGTTCTTTCGTAGCATTTCTGGCCAAACTTGCTTTATTTTTGTGCCAAAATTTTAAATTGACGGGGAAGAGGAACAAGATAGACTTCGGAAGGGACATGTGTTCAAGTCACCCAGATTCTTTTCCCCCCTCCTCCTTTGATGTCATGACTAATAAATATGAAGGCGCATTTCAACATGGAGAAACATCTGGATTGCATTGACAGAAAAATCTGTGCATGCATGTAACAAATAAAGATGACACAGAATTAGTTTATGTTGTTAGTAAATTTTTAACAAATCCTCTCTTGTCAGGGCCAGTTAGACATGTGCAGGAATTCCCCACGAGAACAACTTGGGAGGTGTAGCTTGTGGGAATTTGTGATGCTATTTCTATTCTATTCTATTCTATTCTATTCTATTCTATTCTATTCTATT